ATGTACATCTTGAACACACTATGAACTAGTGATTTTTACAGGGTACATTTTACAGGGGTAGAGTGATTGTACCGGGGTAGAGTGATTTTAAGGGGGTAGGGTGATTGTACAGGGGTAGAGTGATTGTACAGGGGTAGAGTGATTGTGCAGGGGCAAAGTGATTGTGCAGGGATAGGGTGATTTTAAAGGAGTATGGTGATTCTAAAAGAGTATGGTGATTTTAAAGGGGTAGAGTGATTGTATAGGGGTAGAGTGATTGTACAGGGGCAGAGTGATTGTACAGGGGCAGAGTGATTGTACAGAGGCAGAGCAGTATTAAAAGGGTACGGTGATTGTACAGAGTGATTTTAAAGGGGTAGGGTTATTGTACATGAGTAGAGGGTGATTTTACAGGGATAGAGTGATTTTTCAGATGCACTGTGATTTTACAGGGGTAGGATAATTTTATATGGGTAGGGAGATTTTATAGAGTGATTGCACAGGGGTAGGGTGATTTTTCAGGGGTAGAGTGATTTCACAGGGGTAAGGTTATTGTACATGAGTAGGGTGATTTTACAGGAGTAAAGTGATTGTACAAGTATAGTGTGATTTTAAAGGGGTAGAGTGATTGCACAGGGGTAGAGTGATTGTACAGGGGCAAAGTGATTGTAGGGGGGCAGAGTGATTGTACAGGGGCAGAGTGATTATACAGGGCTAGGGTGATTTTAAAGAAGTAGAGTGATTTTAAAGGGGTAGAGTGATTGTACAGAGGCAGAGTGGTATTAAAGGGGTACGGTAATTCTACAGAGTGATTTTAAAGGGGTAGGGTTATTGTACATGAGTAGAGGGTGATTTTACAGGGATAGAGTGATTTTTCAGATGCACTGTGATTTTACAGGGGTAGGATAATTTTATATGGGTAGGGAGATGTTTTAGAGTGATTGTACAGGGGTAGGTTGATTTTTCAGAGGTAGAGTAATTTTACAGGGGTAGGGGACATTAAAAGGGGATCTTGCATTGTTACCTAAAGCCAGTACTCGACAAATCTGTATTTAAGAAAAAAAAAATAATGCGAAAGCATTTCAAACTGTGAAAGTTACATTAAAATTACTTTAAGACAGACAATGCAATAATAAGTGCTCATTTAAAATACACCATACTATTCCTTTAATGGGGTTGATCATGACGGACGTCTTTTTCACCTAAACAACTTTGTGCCTTTGTAACTATTATGCATGATAGTAAAACAGTTCATAAATTCAACAAACCTCAGCATCTCCAGAAGTAATCCGATGTCATGATTAGAAAGCTCCCAACAAGGTGGATATTAGCTCTAAGTGTGTGCTTTTGAGTGCATTATTTTTCCCAGAAATACACTCTTTGCACTTGAAAAGTCCCTCATTGTGATAATTAGCAGAGACACCCTCCTGTTCATTCCTTTTTAATTACTTTCCTAAATAGCTGCAGCTTCATTTATAACCAATTTGTCACAAGTAGTCATGAACTGTATTAGTTATCGTTTAAAAAAAAACCCAACAAAAATGTCCCCGTCCTGAGAACAGGAGAGATTAGGATTGGCTGAATTCAGTATTTGCACAGCAAATTCACAAAGCACTCCGGGCTTTACCTACCCTGCCTGTGGGCTGCCAGCACTGCAATGGTCAATTGCCACTATCAAGTTGCCACAATCAGGGTTAATTATAACGTTTAACTTTGGTCAGCCTTTGCCTGTAAAGTGTCCTAAGCTTCAGTAGTTGTAACTGGAATGGGCAGAGTGATAGGATTTCAGACTTACTTGGATCCAGTAAGAGGATGGAGAAGGAAGGAGGAAGGAGGAAGGAGAGTGTGAGCCAATAGCAGCAGGATTTGGGTGGCTGAATGAGAAAAATATTTTGAGTCCCCCATCCATGCTAAACAGTGTCGATGAAGGCCTCTCCCCTGCTGGCTGTTGTATTCTGACAGCCAGCGCAGGCTGCTATTGTTCTGTTCTGTGTTGACGTTTGTGAACAATACTATTATTAAAAGTTTCTCTACTCTTTAACTTTCTTTTGTTGTCCCTCTCTTTGGATTTTATACATGCAAATCTTCTTTTCTGGGAGGGACATCACGTTCTTGTTGGGAGTGTCCTCCAGGAAACCATTGTGCTTTACCACATTTCAATGGACATTCTTATTATTTGAATCCAGCGCCCCCCTTTACTTGTTCCAGCAATAAAAATCTAACAAGGGTTCTATATACAGCAGTGTATATATAGCTGTTGGCATCCAATGTGTTAAAATGACTGACAGTGGCTTAATGAAGCCCAACAGTGGACAGTCAAGTTCTGAATGAATGGTTCACCCTTTACTTTTATGGAAGTCTTGCAATACCTTATCCCACTCGATCAACCCAACACAGATATTTACCGCTATGCAAATTAGTTTTTTAACCTAAAGTCCTCATTTGCATATGCTGGTATGCAAATGAGGGATTTAGGTTATGAGGTATTTGCCCTTTGCAACTGGGGCACCAAGATATTATAGCTCCAGGAAACAGAGAAGGCAGATGCTAGCAAATGGGGTTGAATGCCAGTGCACGAATGAGTCAGGGTTCAGCATTTTTTATATATATATATAAATATGCCCATAAGTGTTAAATAACATATTGCACGCTGTACGATAGCTTCCGTATGAAAAAAATAAAACAGAATCAAAATCCCATCAGCTGAGAAAGTGTGTAATAAGCACTGAGAGCTCCCCCAGAGTCACATAAATAACATTCCGTATTATCCGCTCTGTACGCAAACTATTAAAAAAATACTCAATGTCACCACAGCAGGTCCCACTGTCGCTGAGATAATGACGCTGACCTTTCATGCGCCCGCTCAGGAAGACTCATCTGCCTGATTAAAGTGGTATATTTATATGGGGAGGAGAGGGGGGATTAACACATGAAAAGAGAGGCTTAATGGTCCAGACTCTGCAATGGACTGCTGGTGAGATTCTCGTGATCTGCAATTGGCACAAGTAAAATGACAACTTCCAACGTATAAAAGGATACTTTTTTTTTAAAAGTGTACATGTTCTCAGAGCTAAAGAGTGGAACTAATTATATATCCTATTAGGACATAATAAGTGCTTAACAAAAGTGTTTCTGTTTCCTCTGGCCAAAGACTAAGATGCCCTGCAGCCTGCAAGTCTAATATAACCTTCGGCTTTGGGGAAAGTGAAAATTGAATCCAAAGGTGGCATATCACATGTTACCACATCCCCATAAGTACCAGAAGTTTCGCAAACAAACGGATACAGAATGAGGTGATGTGTGGTATAGCAGAGCAAAGTGCAGAATATTGCATTTACTGCACAGCATACAGAATTGGAGGTAGAGTAGAGTATTGTGTATAGTACCGCACTCTACCGGATCCTACCGCACTCCCCTTCACTTTGGAGGTGGGTGCTGAAGTGACCGCGGATGGCGCCACACAAATCACATGAAGAAACAGAAACGTCACAAGCAAACCATGGTAATGTGTCCAAAAGCACCGCTTCTTTATTGACACATTTTGTCACATACAGCACAACGTTTTGGGGCCATGCAGGATCCCCTTCATCAGGCTCTTTGTCATATTGAGCCTGATGAAGGCGACCCTGTGTGGCCTGCAAAAGTTGCGCTGTATATGTAACAAAATGCCTCAATAAAGAAGACGTGCTTTTGGACACATAACCATGGTTTGCTGGTGACGTTCTTGTTTCTTCATGTAGTAGAATATAGCACGCACAACCAAGTGGTGCAATGTGGAGTATAGAACGTACAACACAACGTACAGAGTGGAGCATTGCAGAATGTACAAAGCGCAACAAAACATACACAGTGGGGCTGTGTAGAGTATAGAACATACAGCACTATGTGGAGAGAGAGGGGGGGGGGGGTT